TATCATCTGGTCAACAGAAAACAACGCCGTGGCCTTTTCCAAATATAACTACAAAATACTCACAATGATTTACATCTAAAACACAGAAGGAAAAAGTTGTAATTGAGTGTCTCTGGTCTTTGATGTCAGGGATTGGTCTAGTCCAGGTGTCCACACCAGGTGTGCAGCCACACCAGGTGAATGACCTTTAACCTGCAATGTGACCCTCGCGCCGTGCACACGGCCATACTTCAATACGTTTTTCCCACCTTACACTCTATGAGGCGTACGCCACACAGTATATTGCGGTGTCGTATGTGGAAAGGTTTTACTGTGCTGGAAAGACTGAGGTCTGTCCTGCCGAGGTAGTGGCAACATTCAGGACTTCAAGACCGCAAACATTAAACTGACCGAATCCTGCCTAGTCCAGTAACGTCTTCTGAATGTCATCAATTATTTGTTCAAAAATGTCTAACTTAAAGACCGTGTAAAGTAAATTCTGAGATGTGTTTCTAAACACATTACACACATTAGAAAGTCATTGCTGGAAACATGTGAAAACACTGTATAACCATTTAATGTTGAGTTGTGGAGTCAGACCGTTTTTCAGTTTTTCACCATTTTGGCGTTAAGGACTTTATGGGGCTCAAAGGGTACATGATGACGTAACGCGCTCCCCCTTAGCATTGCCCCGCCGCTAACAACCAGAGCGCAATTGCGTCACTGCTTGTCACGCTCAATCGCGAGTTTGACAGTTATTAGTTTGACAGTTGAGAGAGGCTCCGCCTCGCTCGTGCATAATTGGGCGTGGTTTAGCGCCTTCAGCAGACCACCGCCCCAGCATCTCAGAGCTGAGAATAATGCTTATTTTTTCTTGACTTTTGAATCCTAATTGTATATACTTGCCGACTTTTTTAATCATGTAAATTTGGCTGGGTGGTTAATAACACATTTTCCTATAGTGTGACAAACTCTAAACACATTTACCTTTGGTTTACAGGGACTTTAAGAGCTCTAAATCAAATTAATCCAGAGCTCTGAATCCTGTGATTACAGGGTCCGCCATCCTATGAATGAATAGTTCATAGAACTAAAAGTTCAAACTTCAAAGTTGGTAATTTTGTCATGTGACTGCCGGCCGGCAGCTCGGTTTTATCCCGCCCTTTCGTGTGTTTGGGATCACGGGTTGTCGGTGGAAGACTGAATGTTGACCGCTACCCTCCTGCTACCATCCAAACACTAGCCAGCTGTTCAGGACACACTCACAACTCACACACACACACACACACACACACACGGTAATGCCAGAACAAACAGCGTGCACGCAGAGAAGTTGTTTCCGGTGAGTCAATGCGGCGTGGCTACGCTAAGCTAACAGCTTAATGACACCCGAGTGGAGCGAACATGTTAATGACACCTACTCAAACAGAGGTGCCTCCTCGGGAAACTCCCTGGCCTGGCACTTGGCCAACCAGCAAGAGTAACACACTGTGTGTGTGTGTGTGTGTGTGTGTGTGTGTGTGTGTGTGTGTGTGTGTGTGTGTGTGTGTGTGTGTGTGTGTGTGTGTGTGTGTGTGTGTGTGTGTGTGTGTGTGTATGTGTGTGTGTGTGTGCCTATATAACTACACAACAACGAGGTACTACTACTACTACCATGCAATACACAGAATATATGACTAACTGTGATATACAATAACAATGATGTATTATGTACATAGACTTATCATAATCCAATATATACATAACACATCCTTAAACAGTGGCACAGTGTGAAGGTCAGAAAGCAGAGGAGGAAGAGAGAGGAAGGTGAAGGAGAGAGCTTTGACAAGGCGAAGGGAGAGGGAGAGGTCAAGAACTGCATGAGAGTGGAGGTGGTGGAGGTGGTGGTGATGTTGGGGTGGAGGTGGAGGTGGTGGTGGCGATTCTGCATATTTATGTAAAAACACAAAGCTAGGGAGGACTCGTCTCGGATATTGATTGGTGTTTACAGCAGCCAATAGCGCTGAATGTGGCGCCAGATTAACAGTAACTAGCGGCTCAACATGGAAAGCCATGATGACAGCCTGCTCTCTGTTGTGGAGGACTTAAAACTGGAGAAAGCATTTTCATTGGACGCAAAATCAAATGCCTACAATGAGACCTCTCTCTGATGCAACAGGTTGGTTTGATAACAGTTTCCAGTATATGCAACTTCTACCGTTTGCCTTGGTTTGTTTTCATCACCCTCTGTTCAACGGGTACATTACACTGTATTATGCCTTGGGTTTAACTACTTCCTGTTTACTACTCAAAGTAATGTTTAGTGTTATGTAGTTATTTAGAGATGGACCAATGAAACAGGTGGTGTCAGTGGTGCATTGCAGGTAGCAGGTCACCACAGTGTAAACATAGTCAAAGTATAATGGTTTCAAAGCCCCTTCTTATAGAGCATTCATCTGAGAATTTACACAGCTTTTACTGAGTAACAGTCCTATGGCTCTATAGAACATGTCCAAATATTTACCAGTGGTAAACAGTGGTAAACAAACACATAAGTAATTACAAGCTCCTAATTAAAGGAAGAAGGAAGAGGAATATAAATGAGAGAGAGCTTTACTAAAGGAGCCAAAACAGACCAGGAAAACAAAGCGATAGAATTAATCCATGTGTTTCAACACCTGGCAGCTAACCGCCTGTCTGTCTCTGTGTGTCTATACTTCATATGCATGCATGTTTATATTTATGAATGCGTGCATGAATGTGTGTGTGGGCGTGTGTGCGTTCATGTGTGTGTGCTCATGTGCTATTGTTCATGTGCATGCAGGTGCGTGTGTGTGTGTGTATGTGTGTGTGTGTGTGTGTGTGTCTAACCGTGGTGCATGAAGCCATTGTTGCAGAGGCCCACCCCCAGCATCACAGCATCCTCCCGTGTCGAGCAGTCGCCCTGGAAACAGAGTGACGCACACACAAACACACACTCAATCACCACATCACCTTCATTTTCATTACAGCCCCACACGTGCACACCTGAGGGGTCCATGTGCATGTGTGTGTGTGCATGTGCATGTGCGTGCATGCGTGTGTGTGTGTGTGTGTGTGTGTGTGTGTGTGTGTGTGTGTGTGTGTGTGTGTGTGTGTATGGGATGACATAATTATGGGGGGTGAAAAGGGTTAGGGGGATTAGACACACTTACGTACGTTCGTGTGATTATTTACTAAAAGTCCCACGTGTCTGTGTGTGCATTCTGCATCATGCACATGCACACGCGCGTGCGTGCACACGTGTATCATTGTTGTTTTATCTGTTTTCTCGTAGCCTTAAATTGACTAGATAGACCTTTCCAGGTAATCAATGAAACTAGGATAATAATAGTAGCCTATCGCTACTTTACCAATAAGCTACCGTGACCTGACGGTGACATCAGCCAACATATGCATCCTATAACACAGAGGAGCCTGAATGGATTAAAACAAAATAAAAACGAAAATAAAACAACATGAATGATAATACATCTAAAACAAAAAACGATTAATAATAGACTAATATTATTAGCCTATAATACTAATATTATCCTAGTTAGTAGTTAGTAGTAAATAATCACCCCCCATAACATAATGACTGACGTATGCTGGTCTGGTGTGCGTGTGCGTGTGCATGTGCATGTGTGTGTGTGTGTGTGTGTGTGTGTGTGTGTTATTGAATGGACCCAGTATTGTCACAGTATTAAAGTCATACAGTTCCAGGTGTGTCTATCTTTATTTGTACCTGTGAAAGCAGCCAATCCACTAGCTTGTTGGCGGGCACCACGGATTTAAAGGTCTTCAGGTGATGGTCTCTGTCCCTGCAGAGAGCACAGGCACAGCAGCATTGAGGGTTTGAGCATTGTTGGTTTGGTTTGGTTTGTCTTTTGCACAATAGCAGTGACAGGAAGTCAGCAGTTTCCCTTTAGTGGCAAATTTCCTGAGACATACATTTTTTTGTGGTCAGAAGAGGTAGGGTACAGCGATCACACAATACTTCTGCTTCTGTGCATGTGTACACGTGAATGCGTTGGCGTTTGTTGCAGAACATGTTTTGATTCTTTGACAGCGTTGCTCAATAAAACCCTGCTTAGTTTTTACTGGATAACACAGCACATATTGTCTCTCCTCCAAAGATTTGTCCAAACACCATCAAATATTATTTCCTCATTATTTCCTAAATGAAGAATAATGAGAAAACCTGTTGAGGTTTTTACAGATACACAAAGTAATACACACAGTATACACACAGTAATACACACAGTATACACACAGTAATACACACAGTATACACACAGTATACACAGCCAACTTGGCATGGCCAAGTTTTCCATTCGCTGTTCTCTTTTGGCTCACGTTTGAGAGAGCGAGCGTGAGTACAGAGTCCACCGTGCTGTGGAAGGAGGAAGTGCAGATGTGAAACAGGAAGTGCTTGATACAACACGTGATGGGCTGTTGGACACATGTGAGAAGAACAAGGGCCTCATCTCTATTTTTTTGTCAAGCTTTATATAACCAGGGTAGCCACAGTGCTGACCCATATTCTTGCAGCATTTCAGTTGCTCACACCAAACAGGCTCAACATAAATAAGGATTAAAATGATTAAAACAAGCACTCCAGCATCCGTCTCATTGGGCCGAGATCGGCTATCAATCAGCGAGAAGTCAACAATGTCAGCAGCTAATCTAGCGGAGCGGTTTAGGAGCAGCCATGACACGCATGTTAAAGAGGGAAACAAATGAATATTTATTGAGGAGAACACTCTAATCAAAACAGGGCGGCAGCGGCTAATGGCTAAACCTGCCGTTACGTGGTCCCTGAATCAGTGGTGAGACCATTTGCTTATAAACACAAAAAGGCGAAAGAATGAACCTTAGCCAATCAGAAAGAGCGATTGTCATAACTACTTATTTGCATTACTAATTACAAATTTAGCAGGTGCTATTTTATCAAAAAGCGACTTGAAGTGAATACAGGTACAGTTCATTAAGCACCCGGTAGGGGTTAGGTATCTTGCTCAAGGACGGGGACATTGGGGATCGAACCCAGAACCTTTCGGCTGGAAGTCGAACGCCCCTAATCACTATCCTGGACTATCCTGCCTTGCCAAACCTACATTTCACCGGAGAAGGCAATGCCTCCTCACGTTGATTTAAATGTTTGGTTACTCTCCAGGAGTAGTAATGTCCTGCAATTACATCTCAACCCACATTGTGAGGAAGTCCAACTCCTTGGTACACGTCTGCTGAGCTTTTGAAACGCAGCACAGCACAAACAAGCTCCTCTGACAACTGCGCCAGCTAGCGATAGCTTTGCTCTCTCGAAACCTTTCTGTTGTCCCAGATGGGCGAGAGATGGGTGACCTGATTCTCCCAACACTGACAATCCTTTGATTACAGCCAAGTCGAGCCCAACCCGCTCATGCCCCCATCGAGGAATGAGAGCGAGAGCGAGAGTGAGAGAGAGAATCACCCCACCATGCAATGATCAGTTTGGATCAGTTTTCACGAATACCATACAACAACTGCATAGAAACTTATATTGTTTTTTGTATTGTCAACAATCATTAAAACAATCATAATGCAAAGGGACAGCGTTGCACTTTCCTTAAATGTTGGAACTAAAAGATGAAACCCTAGCAAGAGACAAGAGATATAAATATGTTTGTGCAGATAATGGATGAGAAATCTTGTGTCAAATGTTTAGCCAGCAACCCAAATGTGATCGTTATTAGTTGCCGAAGCAAAATAAATTCCTCCCGGAAATATGACCTAATATTTGTCCAGAGCGGAGCAGGGTTGGTGTGTGTGTGTGTGTGTGTGTGTGGGTGTGTGTGTGTGTGTGTGTGTGTGTGTGTGTGTGTGTGTGTGTGTGTGTGTGTGTGTGTGTGTGTGTGTGTGTGTGTGTGTGTGTGTGTGTGTGTGTGTGTGTGTGTGTGTGTGTGTGTGTGTGTGTGTGAATGGGCTTCTGTCCCCGGCACCAAAGGCCTCTTTGTCTCAGACAATGGACACCCAGGAAACTTCAATCAGTAGAGGGAGATAGGGGGAGAGACAGAAATAGGGGGAGAGATAGAAGGGGAGAGATAGAGGGGAGATAAGGGGAGAGAAGGGGGAGAGATAGGGAGGGGGGAAGATGAAGGGAGCAATAGGAGGGTGAGGGGAGGAGGGGAGAAAAAAGGACAAATGTAATACAAAGGGAGGATGGGAGAAGGCAGATAGGAACAGGGTGTGTGTGTGTGTGTGTGTGTGTGTGTGTGTGTGTGTGTGTGTGTGTGTGTGTGCCTGCGTGTCATCATGAAGCAATACTTACTTGATGACAGGTGTGTGGAGGCTGTGCATGCGGCAGTACAGTCTGACACCCTATAGGAGAGCAGAACACAGCGGGTGGGCGGGGCTTAGTGACTACAATAAAGACTGAGTTATTGCAGATATCAGCAGGACACACATCACATTAGCATGACAAGTGAGGAGGGACAACTTGTATTCTGTGTTCGGTCTCTTCTCTTCTGTCATGTGAATTGGTACACAAAAGGAAAAACTGAACCTCCCCTTCAGGATTAATAAAGCAATCATCCATTCATCCATCCCTCTCTCTCCCACCCTCAGGTGTTCATTTCCCTCGATGGCGCTACCTTGGACATGATGTCCTCCATCTCGCTCCGGGCCTTGTATGTCCCGTCGTCGTAGCGGAAGCGGTACAACACTTGTTCGTTCTTGAACTGGTGCTTGTCCGACACTGGGAACACAACCACATGGGAGGGCAAATAGGAGTTAGAGTTCACGCGTCAAATTAAAGGGATGTAAACCAGAATTTGTGTCACTTTCAGTAAGACACAGAAATATGTTGTAGCATTGGGCAAGCAAACAAACATGATCCAAAACAGTACGAAAATAAAATGTATTTAAAAAATCCATATACAACATTAGTAACCTAAAAATTCAATTGATAGCTTTTTTTATATATATAGCCAATACATCTAGCAGAGACAATAATTAGAGAAAAACAAATATTTGTTTGAGAAGCTAAACAATATTTAATGCCAAACAGGAGCAGTTTAGCCGAACGATTTGGCTGGGGTTTCAAAAATGTTTCTTTGAATCTACACTCAACCCAGCCCCATGACAGAGACACCCATTGTAAAATATAAGTGGCAGGCTTTGCAGTACTCGAAATTACAGTAAAAGTATACTGGCAGATCAAACGAGCTGTTGAAATAGATATAGTCACGCTGGTTGGAACATGCACTGTACTGCCGAACGCATGGATTACAGCCCAGTCCGCCAAGCGCCCAAACAAAAATGTTTCTTTTAATGATAATGATATACTTTATTAACCGCCATGGGGGAATTCATTCTCTGCATGCCATGTAACCCATCGTTGCTCGGAGCAGTGGGCTGCAAAAAAGGGTCGCACTCGGGGAACCAACTCCACTTGTAGTGCCTTGCCTTGCTCATGGGCAGCAGGGCAGGAGTGTTAACTAGCATGTTTACTCGTAATACTCGTAGAATCGCAATACCTAAAAATCGCAATACATATCGAATCGGCACCCAAGTGTCGTGATAGTATGGAATCAGGAGATAAGCATATCGTCCTGCCCTAGTGACTGCATTTGTGGATTGAGCCACAAGCCTCCTAAAGTTAGAACCAGAACCAGCCTGTTTAGGTCTGAGATGAAGGGAGCGGGTTATCCTCTTTCTAAACACCCACAAAACCCAATCTCTCCCCCGCCCGCGCTAACCTTAGTCCTTAGTGCCCATTGTGCTGAGTGAGTGCTTGTGCTGTGTGGGTGCTTGCGGTGGGTGGGGGAGCTCTGGGGGACTTCCAGCGGTGTTGGGTGTCCATAACATCGTCTGAAACTATAGGATCTCTGGGCGTGAGGGCTTGCCAAGGAGTGACGCGACTTGCTAGCCTGATATCAGACAGAAGTGTCAACTCGTTCCTCTCCAGTCTGACGTCGCCCTCCACTCTAACCTATTTCCGTAGGGGAGGGGGATTCGATGTTCCCTAACCAATCACTAGAGACCATCATATCCGCCTGAATCTAACGTCATTTTAGGTTATTTAACCCCGAGGCACTCATTGGATAATCACTTTTTCAACCGAGAAACCACTGGTTCATGTCATGATGCCAGACCAGTCAGCTCTCCACCTCGGTGAAGTGGGCGGAGTCAAAGGTCTGGACTACATACTATTTTATTAACTTACTTCTTACTACTCCTTCATTCTTTTATAATCAATCATTTTTTTCCGTATTATTGCTTCACTCGTCTGGTCTATTGAGAAACTACAACTACACACCCAACCGACTGACAGCACTACGCTGGGAGGAGCTCTTTGTCTGTGGTCGTCTTTTAAGACCTGCAGTTTCTATAGGAATTATAGTTTTCCAAACAGGTGCACCTGTTGAATGTTGCAGAGTTAGGATGACGACGACAGAGACAGACAAACAGAATGAGCAATAGAGGGCAATAGGAAGAAAGGAGGGAGACAGAGAGGGAGAGGGGGAGAGATAAGGAGAGAGGGAGACAGAGAGAGGACGAGATAACTAGAGGAAAAAAAGAGGGACAGCCAGAGAGAAGAGAGAGAGAGACAGAGAGGGAGAGGGGGAGAGATAAGGAGAGAGGGAGCCAGAGAGAGAGGAGAGAGATGGGGGAGGCTGACATGGAAAAGGGCGGTGAGGAGGGAGGAGTGAAGAGAGAAGGGAGGGGGAGACAGCTGAGGAGAGGAACCAGGAGCTACCGGAGGCTGTCAAAACTGTCAGGGTTACAACGGGAGACACGCGGCCAGTGTTGATGTGTACACTCATCTCCCGGCCGCGGGGAACACAGAGACTGAGAGATTCAAACAGTGGAAATAAACACAGGAGAAGCAGCCGTGCCGCTGCGTAGTTCATCATGTTAATATGCATGCAGGGAAACCATAGGCAAACACATTGGATCAATTAGTAAGCACAAATTAACTCATTAGATGTGAAGTGAATGAAGTAATTAAAAATAAGTTGAGACTTGCACGTGTGTTTCCTTGCAGATGCCGAAATACTGATTTTAAATAAAAAAACACAAAAGACAGACGGACAGAAAGAAGGATGAAAGAAAGACAAAGAATGAAAGAAAGTGAAAAATAAAGAACACAAATAAAGAGTAAGAAAGAACAAAGAGGAAATGATAAAGAAAGAAAGAGAAAAAGAGACGGAAAGAAAGAATGAACGGAAAGAACGGAAAAAAAGAACATGCGGATGAAAGAGACGGAAAGAAGGAAAGAAAGAGAAAAAAAATGAACAAATAAACAAAGGGTACACACAGAGGAAAGTGATAAAGAAAGAGAAAATGAGAAAGAGAAAGAAAGAATGATCAAAAGAAAGAAAAAAGACAGAGCAAATGAAAGACAGAGGAAGCCGGTAAGAAGGAAAGAAAGGGACGAGGAGGAAACGCACCGTGGTGTATGATCCCGTTCTCCAGCAGGGCCTGGCCCAGGTTTCACCCCCTCATCTGGCTTACTGATCTCTTCCGCCTCTCCGCAGCACGACACAAACTCCTGGACACATAAACACCTCATATATAAACCATGTAGGACATTAGAAACTCACTGCCAACACAGAATATCACAACATATCAGAATCGGAAATGGTTTTTCCATTTGTATTTTAAGCACAAAAGTACAAGGAATTCATTTTGGGGCATTTAGAATAAATACAACTCTCTGCTTCCTCCTCTCCTCTGCTCTCTCCTCATTCCATTTTCTCAACCTCCTCATCCATCATCCCCCCCCTCCTCCCTCCTATCTGATACTCTCTCTTCGTTCCTCACCTCCGCCATCTCGCTTCATCCTCCCTCTCCGTTGTCAGCCTAATGTGTCCAACTCTCACGCCAGTCCGCTCCTTCACGCCACCAGCTTAATCAATTCCCTGCTGAGCAGTGCATCGGACAGGACGCTGTGCGAG